AGAGGAACATACCTCAATATCATAAACACCATATACAAAAAGCCCACAGTGAATATCATTCTGGAGGTCTGGAACATGGCAAGGATGTCCTCTATCACCACTGCTGTTCAACATAGTACTAGAAGGCCTAGCTTCGGCAATCAGACAACAAAAAGAAATAAAAGGCATCCGAATCAGCAAAGAAGAAGTCAAACTCTCACTCTTTGCAGATGATATGATACTTTATGTGGAAAACCCAAAAGACTCCACCCCAAAACTGCTAGAACTCATACAGGAATTCAGTAAAGTGGCAGGATATAAAATCAATGCACAGAAATCAGTTGCACATTTATACATTAACAATGAGACAGAAGAAACAGAAACTGCACCCAAAACCATAAGATACCTAGAAATAATCCTAACCAAAGAGGCAAAGAACCTGTACTCAGAGAACTATAGAATACTCATGAAAGAAATTGAGGAAGACACAAAGAAATGGAAAAACGTTCCATGCTCATGGATTGGAAGAACAAAGACTCTTAATGTCTATGCTACCTTACTTAGGCAATCTACACATTTAATGCAATCCCTCTCAATATACCATCAACTTTTTTCACAGAAATGGAACAAATAATCCTAAAATTTGTATGGAGCCAGAAAAGACCCCGAATAGCCAAAGGAATGTTGAAAGAGAGAACCAAAGCTGGTAGCATCACAATTCCAGACTTCAAGCTCTATTACAAAGCTGTGATCATCAAGACAGTATGTACTGGCACAAAAACAGACACAAAGAACAGTGGAACAGAACAGAGAACTCAGAAATGGACCCTCAAAACTCTATGGTCAACTAATCTTCGACAAAGCAGGAAAGAATATCCAATGGAAAAAAGTCTCTTCAACAAATAGTGTTGGGAAAATTGGACAGCCACATGCAGAAGAATGAAAGTGGACCAATTCCTTTCACCATATACAAAAATAGACTCAAAATGGATGAAAGACCTAAACGTAAGATAGGCATCCATCAAAACCCCAGAGGAGAACACAGGCAGCAACCTCTGTGACCTAAGCCACAGCAACTGCTTGCTAGACGCATCTCCAAAGGCAAGGGAAACAAAGGCAAAATGAACTATTGGGACTTCATCAAGATAAAAAGTTTTTGCACAGCAAAGGACACAGTTGACAAAACCAAGACAACCGACAGAATGGGAGAAGATACTTGCAAATGACATATCAGATAGAGGGCTAATATCCAAAATCTATAAAGAACTTATCAAACTCAACACCCAAAGAACAAATAATACAATCAAGAAGTGGGCAGAAAACAAGAACAGACATTTCTCCAAAGAAGACATTCAAATGGCCAACAGGCACATGAAAAAATGCTCCACATCACCTGGCATCAAGGAAATACAACTAAAATCACAATGAGATACCATCTCACAGCAGTCAGACGGTTAAAATTAATAAGTCAGGAAACGACAGATGTTGGCGGGGATGCGGAGAAAGGGGAACTTTACACTGTTGGTGGGAATGCAAGCTGGTGCAGCCACTCTGCAAAACAGTATGGAGGTTCCTCAAAAAGTTGAAAATAGCTACTGTACGACCCAGCAATTGCACTACTAGTGATCACAAATGTAGTGATCCGAAGGGGCACCTGCACCCCAATGTTTATGGCATGTCCACAATAGCCAAACTGTGGAAAGAGCCAAGATGTCCATCGACAGATGAATGGATAAAGAAGATGTGGTATATATACACAATGGAATATTACTCAGCCATCAAAAAAAAGAAATATTGCCATTTGCAATGACATGGATGGAACCAGAGGGTACTATGCTGAGTTGAAATAAGTCAGTCAGAGAAGGACAATTATCATATGATCTCACTCATATATGGAATTTAAGAATCAAAACAGAGGAGCCTAGTGGAATGGAGGGAAAAATAAAACAAGATGAAATCAGAGAGGGAGACAAACCATAAGAGACTTAATCATAGGAAACAAACTGAGGGCTGCTGGGGGGGTGGGGAAGGGGTAACTGGGTGATGGACATTAAGGATGGCATGTGATGTAATGAGCACTGGGTATTATATAAGACTGATGAATCACTGAACTCTACCTCTGAAACTAATTAAACACTACATGTTAATTAATTGAATTTAAACTTAAAAGATTTTAGAAATTTTAGGGGTGCCTGGGTGGCTCAGTTGTTAAGCGTCTGCCTTCGGCTCAGGTCATGATCCCAGGGTCGTGGGATCAAGCCCCGTGTCAGGCTCCCTGCTCAGCGGGAAGCCTGCTTCTCCTTCTCCCAGTCCCCCTGCTTGTGTTCCCTCTCTCGCTGTGTCTCTCTCTGTCAAATAAAAAAAAATAAAAATCTTGAAAAAAAAAATTTTAGAAATTTTAAAAAATAAGGGAAAATAAATAAAATTTAATTAACCCAATCCAAAAAAAAAAAAAACCAGAAAACACTAATTCAAAGTCTACATGCACCTCTACATTTACTGCCTCATTATTTAGAATAGCCTAACTATGGAGGCAGCCCAAGTGTCAACAGGTGAATGGATAAATAAGATGTGGTACACACACAAACACACACACAGGGGAATATTAGTCAGCCATAAAAGAGAATAAAATCTTGGGAGCACCTGGGTGGCTCAGTCGGTTAAGGATCTGCCTTCAGCTCAAGTCATGATCTCGGGCTCCCTGCTCAGCGGGAGTCTGCCTCTACGTCTGCACCGACCCCCCTCCCCCTCCGCTTGTCCTCTCTCTCTTTCTCTCTCAAATAAATAAATAATAAAAACCTTTAAAAAAATTTTAAAAAGAAAAAATCTTGCCATTTGCAACATGGATGGAGCTAGAAAGTATTATGCTAAGCAAAATAAGTCAGAGAAAGACAAATACCATATAATTTCACTCATGTGGATTTTAGGAAATGAACAAGCAAAGGGGAGGCAGAGAGAGAGAGAAAGAGAGATAAACCTAGAAACCGACTTTTAACTAGAGTACAAACTGATGGTTACTTGAGGGGAAGCTGGTGGGGAACCGGTGAAATATGTGAACCAGAGTACACTTAACATGATAAACACTAAGTAATGTACAAAACTGATACATTACTATATTGTACACCTGAAACTAATATAACACTGTATGTTAAGTATACTGTAATTAAAATTTTTTAAAAAGGTTGATAAAAATACATGGGTCGGGGCGCCTGGGTGGCTCAGTTGGTTGGGCGACTGCCTTCGGCTCAGGTCATGATCCTGGAGTCCCGGGATCGAGTCCTGCATCGGGCTCCCTGCTCAGCAGGGAGTCTGCTTCTCCCTCTGACCCTCCTCCCTCTCATGCTCTCTGTCTCTCATTCTCTCTCGCAAATAAATAAAATCTTTAAAAAAAAAAACACATGGGTCAATAGTCCATGTGATTTTGTTTTAGCATCTGTACTGAAAATACTATTTATAATTTCAACTATAAATCACTGTGAACCTTCTAATACAAACTATTTAATCTTCCTTGAGAGAACAGCACAGAAAAAAATTCTGGCATATAGCAAAAGTTGGAATAAATGTGGCATCAAAGATCAGTGGGAAAAAGGCCACCCAGGCGCCACAATTATTCAGAAAATGGTGTGCTGGGACTCCTGGGTGGCTCAGTCAGTTAAGTGTCTGCCTTCGGCTCAGGTCATGATCCCAGGGTCCTGGGATCAAGTCCCATGTCAGGTTCCCTGCTCAGTTGGGAGCCTGCTTCTCCCTCTGCCTGCCACTTCCCCTGCTTGCGCACACGCTCTTTCTCTGACAAAAAAATAAAAATCTTTTAAAAAAGACAGAAAATGATGTGCCAAAGGGTAACTATCAAAAAGGGACAGATAAGCCTGTCACAGGAGAAGTAAAAACAAATTCTAGGTGAACTAATGATTAAGCATAAAATGAAACTTCAAACAATATCTGATCTTGAGAAAGATGCAACTAAGGAAAACAATATATATAGCAAAGTTGAATACCAATAGATAGGAATAAAAATTATTCAACTTTCATCAAACCAAAAAACTGTAAATAAGCAAAACACTACCAGTGGTTTTTAATGTTCTAACACACAGCCCAGCAAGGCCAGAGTAAAACTAGAACTCTCAATCACTAGTAATGATATTATAACTTGTCACTGCCTTTTCAAGAGAATAATTTTGCAATCAGCATTAAGAGCCTTAAAAAACCTAGCCTACTAAAACAAAGGTCTGTATGAATTCAGTCAATGATTCCTTATTCACAATTCTATAATCCAAAAATATCTAAACACTGGCAGCAAAACCTATCATGAATTTATAATTATTTATCCCACTCAGCTCATCAGCCTGGCCTTCAAAGCTGTAATTAATTTGGTCCCTTCCTATTTGCCTGAGTTTATTTCCCAAAATAGCCTCCTACAGGTGCTGTAAACCTGCCACACAAAACCGCAAGTTTAACTATTCTCCAAACATGGTCTAAAATGCCCCCACCACAGCGCCTTTACAGAAGCTGTCCCGCTTCCTGAAATATACTTCTCTTCCCAAATCTATGTTAAGGCTTATCATGGGTCTTTTCATGAAAAAGGAAAAACTGCATCCCCTTTTAAGAAAGCTTCACAGACACTTTCCTCAATCAGAACTAATTTGTCACCTTCCTATGAATCCTGCACAATTTGTACCGTTGAGGTATACTTAAGGTAGTCAGAGGGTTAGCTGTGCATCTCTTCTCTCACTTGGCAGAACTTTCAGAGAGCAGAGACTAAATATTTCATTGTTCCCCCAATTTCTTAACATAGTGCTTTATATTCTGTATCCTAATGATAATAAACTGAGGGATGAGCATAATCATATCAGGATTCATAATAAATAAGTTTTTAAAAATTCCATCACTCAACACAAGTGCCATGTGAGTGCTGGTAGGGAGGAGGTAAAGGAGAGGACAAACAAAAAGCTGGCATAGTAACTACTGAAACAAAGAAGTAGAAAGACGTGGAGACTAGGAAAACACAAGTCACTTTACAGTACCAGAAGAATCCTCCAAGCTTGTCAGTGATGTAAGTTTCTCATTTTCTAATAAACTAGTGTGGCTTAAGTCATTGTGTGGATTCTTGTCTTCAAAATGTTTTCCAGCAAGAGGAACAATCATCTGTAAGAAATAAAATGCCAAGTAACAAAAGCAAACTCACTACTTTGAAGACCACACTAGAAGGTTGCAAAAAGGACCACCAATGTGCTCAGTATTTGTAATTCACAATTTAGGCAATGAAGGTCTAGCTGTTTTATGTATATCAATAACTTTCTTCCTGCCCCCATTCCACTTTCCTCCCCTGACCCACCCACTGAGACATTGTTAAAATTTAACATCTCAAATTGAATGCACAAGCTCAGAAGACCTAGTAACACAGTTAGTACACTAATACCCAAATGAATTTGAACAATACAAGGCTTGGGGTAGGAAGTGAAGATAACAGCCAAGTTGGACTCTGCAATCTACATTGAAATCGCTGGTTTTTCTGCTTCTCAACCCAGGGACAACATAATCCTAACGGCACACAGCAGTTTGTTAAGGGCATTCAAGGCCCAGAATAAAAGGTAACATTGCCTTCTACATGTCAACTTTATTTCAAAATCTTACTAAATATATATCAGACAATACCATCTTTAAAATTAGATTGCAAAATACACAATTTTTAAGATAAAAACAAGGGCTCTCCATACAATTGCATACTTGTAGAGAACTGTGCTGAATTATGCTCATAAAGATCTAAAGATGTGGAAACGAAAAAAACAAATGAACAAACAAAAAAACAGAAATAGACTCAAACACATCTGAGAAAAAAGTGGTGGTTCCTGGAGGAGAGAGAGTGGAACGATGGGTGAAATAGATGGATGAGAGGTACAAAATCCCAGTTATAAAATAAATAAGTCACAGGGATGAAAAGTACTACATAGAGAATACAGTCAATAATATTGTAATAACTTTGCATGGTGACAGAGGGTAACTACACTTCTGGTGGAGAGCATTTATAATGTATACAGTAGTTGGGCACCTGGGTGGCTCAGTTGGTTAAGTGACTACCTTTGGCTCAGGTCATGACCCCTGGGTCCTGGGATCGAATCCCACACCGGGCTCCCAGCTCAGCAGGGAGCCTGCTTCTCTCTTTGCTGCTCCCCCTGCTGTGTGTGCGTGCTCTCTATCTCTCTGACAAATAAATAAAATCTTAAAAAAAAAAAAGTATAAAGTTGTTAACTGCTTTGTTGTATACCTGAAACTAAGAAAACATTGTAATATCAGCTATACTTTAATTAAAAATAAGAAAGAGGGGTGCCTGGGTGGCTCAGTCATTAAGTGTCTGCCCTCGGCTCAGGTCATGATCCCAGGATTCTGGGATCAAGCCCCACATCGGGCTCTCTGCTCAGCAGGAAGCCTACTTTTCCCTCTCCCACTCCCCCTGCTTCTGTTTCCTCTCTTGCTAACTCTGTCAAATAAATAAGTAAAATCTTTAATAAATAGA